ATAAAGGAAAACAAAAATACCAAGAGGAAAGTTCAAAAAAGAATAATAAGAAACACGGTAAAAGTTCAAAAAATTCACCACCAGACTCAGGATCAGATTTATCCGACACAGACAAATCAAGGAAATTCAGTATTCCCGAATTTTCTCAGAATGTACCAATCAATGCCACTCACATCTTAAAGGAACACAAAATTCCATTATTTTATGGAGACGACGATGAAGAAGATCCAACCGAATGGTTACAAGACTTGATAAAAGTATGTAAGGTGAATAATTGGAATGAGACCACAATAGTGCGACAAATTCCCTTGGCCTTAAAAGGTGTTGCAGCTTGTTGGTATGAAGAATTCCCAGACAGGATAATGAACGATTTAAAACAATTCGCCAACGTCTTTATTAGACAATTTACGAACGAAGCAACTACCGCCAAGTTACATGCTCGAATAGTGTCTCTGAGGAAGAAACCTGACGAAAGTATTACCAAATACTACGGGAAATTTACTAAACTACTTAGACGAGCTGACCCGGATGATGAATATTATTTAACCAAACAAAGGTCCGATTTGTTTATTCGAGGGCTAGATAAAAAGCTACAGAGAAAAGTGTTTAGTACAAGAATTAATACCCTCGCTAAAGCTTATAAAAAAGCAAAAGAAGCTGAAACGATGCTTACCTATAACGATTTCACCACCAGCGTTAACGCGGTATTGGATGACGAAACGGAAAATGCCGACGGAAGAAGAATAAAACGTTTGGAGAAAATCATCCAAACATTGGTAGCCGAACAGAGAGAAAATCGACGAATTGAAAGACCAACGGATGATGAAAAGAAATGCCATTATTGTGGAAGGAAAGGACATTTGATGCGAGAATGTCGAACGAGATTATTCGATCAAAGAAAAGAACAATTCACCAATCGAAATAGATCATTTGACGCTTATTCCACACCTCGATATGATCAATGATTATTTAGGCTGTATCGAAATCAACAATTGCCAATTAGGCAAGATTTTCCGAACAATCGAGGAAATCAGACATTCTGAAACAACCAAAATTATCAAACATCTAGACAACAATTCCAGGGAAGAAACTATAATCGAACCAATCAACAAAGCTATAATAATAATAATAATTGTCGACCAACAACACCACGTCCTACCCAAAAAACTTATCTTAACATAGGACCGACGGAGAACGATTCTACTATTGAAGAATCTGACAAAGAGTCCGAAATAGAAACTGAAGAATCCGATAACGATTCTATTATGACTTTAGTAGCCACGTTATCCAAAAAGAAAATTACAGCCATGACTACCGACGCAGAAGTAGATGGAATCGAGTTCAAATTAATTATCGACTCTGGATCAGCCGGAAGTATTGTCACCACCCGGTTGCTAAAAAAATTAAAAAGATCAATTGACGGACCATCTGACACCAATATCATCACTGCTAATGGAGAGCAAACTACTCCCATTGGAAAAATCGATAACTTTCCTTTTATGGTAGCAGGAATCAAAATTCTGATAAAAGTTCTAGTAATCGATGCTCCTCAATATCTCGCATTAGTAGGAAATGATTGGCTTGGGAAAGCGCACGCCAATCTGAATTATCATCACAATTGGCTATTAATCGCTTTCGAAGGACAAGAAGCATCAACACCTATCAGTTACTACAAATATAAAGAGTTAGAACTCGACCCTTATAAACTCATGATCGAAAGCACCAACCAAAGGAAAACAATGGTGAAGACAACCAGAACTCGAATGTGTCGAATGTGGGAAGAAATTATCTTCCATGTCTACCATCATATATCCTGATGAAAACTGGGGCCAAGAAACCCAATATTATTGTAACAGGTGTAACAATTGATGCTTCGGCTATCTCGAGAATAAAGGGCTATGGGACAGGATCCCTTGCCTATTATGTGGCAAAAATATGCCAGACAAATATTGTTGGGAAGATATTCCAGGAGAAGGAGGTGTCTGCGATCAAACTTGCAAGTACGCCTACTTAATCAAATGATGAGTTCGCAATGGAACTCCTTTTCAGGCTGCTTTCTGGAGAGCCTGTGATCGCTTAAATGAAGAACTCGAAGAAAACGAACAATTGAGACGGTTAGCCCTTAGATTTTTGGAAGGAGGATCAAGGGAAGAGATCCGACAAATGAAACAAGAAGAGTATTACACCTACCTTGACGA